CAATTGTTCTAATGCAAAAATGGTACCTACAGGCACCGAAAGCTCTCAATTAATAATTGTCCAATAAGATTGAAATTCTAAGAAGAAGAAGAAGAAGAAGAAGAAGAATAAGGAGAATCATAAGAAGAGAATATCCTAAAGTTCTGGGAAGAACTTCTTTGCAGTTTTAGGAAGAGCTTTTCTGAAGTTTTGGGAAGAACTTCCTTGATATTCTGGGAAGAACATTCCAAAAATTCTAAGACAAATTTTCCTGGAGTCCTGGGAAAAACTTCCATTCAGTGCTGGGAAAAACTTCCCTTCAGTTCTGGGAAAAACTCACCTCAAGTTGTGGATAGTTCTGGGAATTATTATTCCCATGTTTTTTTTCCTTTATTTGTTTTCCGCTGATCTTGTACTCCATAGTGAGTATCAATAGTACTGACGCCAGGGAGGCAGCTCCCACACCTGGACCCTACATATCGACCCATCAACTCATGGATCGTGGACCAACGGCTTTATATTTCTTCAGTGATCAGAGATTGTATGCCTCAGAAAATTCCGGTGGCACCGACTGGGATTGAACCCAGGCCCTTTGGGGTGAGAGGCAGTCACGCTTACCACTACCCCACCGGCGCATCTGATTTCCCGAAGTTTATTTCATGATATTTTTCAAGCCTTCAGGTTGATCAGATTTTATTCTGAAGATCTTCAACTGTCGAGGAATTCAAATAGCGTCTCTCAGATACTAACCCATGATACCAATATGATCAGAAATTATTTCAAAAACCTAACCTGACCCTTGCAGAGATGACTTAAGTTCGTAGATTTTTCCATGAGGAAGCAGACTTTACTGAAGTTCGCAGAGTTTGCCTGAAGTTTGCCACCTTTACTGAAATTTGGATAAAGTTTTTGAAAAATGCAGGATTTTCCAGAAATTTGCAGACTTTCTAGAATAAGGTAGAATTTTCTTGAAGCTCGTAAACTTACACGAAGTTCAAAGCCTTCGGTGAAGTTCCCAGATTTTTCCTTAAATTTGCAAATTCTTCGTGAAGTAAGCTGAGCTTTCCAAAAATTTGCTGAACTTTCCTGAATTTTACAGCATTTTCTTGGAGTTCTTGAAGTTTTTCTAAACTTTTCAAAATATTCCAGTTGAAGCTCGTAGAAATTTTTCGAAGTTCGCAGAATTTTCCTGAAGCTCACCGACTTCACTGAAATTGGCTGAATACTTTTGAAGTTCGCTGAATTTCCCAGAAACCAATATGACCTAAAATTATTTCAAAAACCTACAGATGATCGGAGATTTCTGCGAAATCTTTTGAATCTTTTATCAAATTTTCAAGTTTATCAGGTATTATTCTGAAAATCTTCAACTGTCCACCAATTTCAATCAAGTTTCTCTGATTTTCATCCATGAGCATTTTCATTTTTAGACCATAGGATCTTATTTTTGAAGACCTCAGGTTGATCCAGTATTATCTTAAAGATTTTTTTTTAAGTTCGCAGACTTCCCTGCACCTTGCGGAGATTTTCTTGAGTTCGCAGATTTTTCCATGAGTAAGCAGACTTAACTGAATTTCACAGAGTTCTTAATGAAGATCGCCGCCTTTACTGAAATTTGAAGATTATTTTTTTTAATTTGCAGGATTTTCCAGAAATTCGCAGACTTTCTTGAATTAATTAGAATTTTCTTGAAGCTCGTAGGCTTACACGAAGTTCAAAGACTTCCGTGAAGTTCCCATATTTTTCCTTTAATATGCAAATTTTTCGTGAAGTTTGCAAAATATTCCAAAAGTGTGCTGAAATTTCCTGAAATTCACAGAATTTTCTCAGAGTTCTTGAAGTTCATTCCAGTAGAAATTTCGTAGAAATTTTTCGAAGTTCGCATAATTTTTCTGAAGCTCACCGATTTCACTGAAATTGGCTGAATACTTTTGAAGTTCGCTGAATTTCCCAGAAACCAATATGACCTGAAATTATTTCAAAAACCTAAAGATGATCAAAGATTTCTTCAAAATCCTTTGAATCTTTTATCAAATTTTCAAGTTCAAGTTTTATTCTGACGATCTTCAACTGTCCACCAATTTCAATCAAGTTTATCTGATTTTCACCCATGATACTACGATGATCAGACATTATTTCAAAATCAAATAGATGATCATTTTTAAGTTGATCCAGTATTATCTTAAAGATTTTTTTTAAGTTTGCAGACTTCCCTGCACCTTGCGGAGATTTCCTTGAGTTCAAATATTTTTCCACGAGGAAGCAGACTTTACTGAAGTTCGCAGAATTTTTAATGAAGTTCATCGCCTTTACTGAAATTTAGATAATTTCTTTTTGAAGTTTGCATTTTTTTTTCAAAAAATTCAGACTTTCTAGAATTATGTTTAATTTTTCTGAAGTTCATAGACTTACACGAAGCCCAAAGACTTCCGTGAAGTTCCCAGATTTTTCCTGAAATTTGCAAATTCTTCGTGAAGTTTGCTGAACTTTCCAAAAATTTGCTTTAATTCACAGAATTTTCTTGGAGCTCTTGAAGTTTATCTAAACTTTTCAAAACATTCCAGTTGAAAGTCGTTGAAATTTTCTGATGTTCGCAGAATTTTCCTGAAGCTCACCAACTTCACTTAAATTGGCTGAATACTTTCGAAGTTCGCTGAATTTCCCAGAAGCCAATATGACCAGAAATTATTTCAAAAACCTACAGATGATCCGAGATTTTTTTGAAATCCTCCGAATCTTTTATCAAGCTTTCAAGTTTATCAGGTATTATTCTGAAGATCTTCAACTGTCCACCAATTTCAATCAAGTTTTACTGATTTCCACCCAGGATACTACGATGATCAGAAATTATTTCAAAATTCAACAGATGATCATTTTTAGACCAGTATTATCCTAAAGAACTTCACTGTGCCTTGCAGAGATTTCTTTGAATTCGCAGATTTTTCCATGAGGAAGCTGATTTCCTGAAATTCGCAGAATTTTCAATGAAGTTCGCCGCATTTACTGAAATTTGAGGATTTTTTTTTAAGTTTGCAGAATTTTCCAAAAATTTGCAGACTTTCTAGAATATTCAAAGACTTTCGTGAAGTTCCCAGATTTTTCCTGAAATTTGAAAATTTTTCGTGAAGTTTACAGAATTTTCCAAAAATTTGCTAAACTTTCCTTAAATGTACAGAATTTTCTTCGAGCTCTTGAAGTTTTTCCAAACTTCTCAAAACATTCCAGTTGAAAGTCGTTGAAATTTTCTGATGTGCGCAGTATTTTCCTGAAGCTCACCGACTTCACTGAAATTGGATAAATACTTTGAAGTTCAATGAATTTCCTAGAAAATCACGGACTTCACATAGGATCGCAAATTAGATCTTCGGGAAATCAAAAGAATTAAAAAAAAAAATGACATTTTTTGGTATATTCATTATTTTTAAAAGAGTATTTTGGAGCAGTTCCATTTATTAATTTTGGGAGAGTTCGAGAAGCTACGAGCATTATTAACTAATTTGAGAGTTTCGGGAATTTTCCAAAAAATTCAGGAAGATTGCGTAAATGTATATCACGAACATTTATGGAATTATAGAGAAGTTCCGAGAACCAGCTCTTAATTAACCATGACAGTACTACCCTAAATATGATGACTGACAATCAAAACACATGAATGAGCAGTTCCACGTCAAATGACGAATCGATCTGATGCGACCTTCTGCGACCTTTCCATGAAGCTTTGCATAATTGTTCGTAATGGTCAATCATTTACATTTGAGCTAATATTCGGCCATACGAAATTTTTCAACAATTCATAACTCGAAAATGTCACTTCCAATCGAAATGACGTCTGAGAGGAAGTTATAGGAAAAAAAAATAAAAAATAAACCAGGAAACATGTATACGGTACTAAACAATCAAAGTAACTTTCGATTAAAATAAAAAAGTGTTTTAAACTTAAATAACAAAAAAATAAGCTCTTAAATATTTTTTTTAATATTCTTCACCACAAATGTTAGGAAAAATCCTGCGCTCGAGCTCTGCCTGCCCCACATCGTCACACCATTTCAAGTGCTTTTCGTTCAATAGGGAGTAGAAGCCGGTGACTTAGACGCCACTCTTAGAATCCATCCAACCGATGGGGTCTGTTTTCTGTAGGACCCAAAAAGTTTCACCTGACTTATCATCAGTTTCTCATTTTCGAACGACTTAGTTTCGAAATATATAGACACCATCAATTCGAACCACATCCCATTTCTTCAAAGCCGTAATGCTTTCCATTGTGAAGCGAAAATTCCCATCCCAACAATCACAGTCAGTGCTCCACTAAGAAAGTCAAGTTGGTGGCCTTAAAGCCTTCCCATCATTACGCAATTCACGACACTGCTCTCTTGGAAAAATGGCACTTCTGGCGGAACAGGGAGACGACGGGGGATAGAAACCAGCCTGGTGAGTCGCGCTAAATGGGCGCTAATTATACTGCGGGGTGCTGAAGAGCCCGAGCTCAAACGACACAGTCTTTTCGTCAAATCGTTCTATGTGATGTGATGGGCTGGTGTTGGTGGAAATGTAGAGTGAAAGAGGTTTGAAATTGTAGGGTTTTAATAGCCGCAAATTTTCGCACAACCTTGCTGCTGTCGGTGATGTAAGTGGCTCCGATTATTTCCCATCGGTGGTTACCTGTTGCTGCGGCTTCAATTTCACGAAATAGACCTAATTCAAACTAGGCCGATATGCAACACGCCTCTTTGATGTTACTGTTGTCGGAAAAAGCACATCAAACTAGCCACAAAATAGCTGAGCTGCACTCAAGGTCACCACACCCACGCCCAGCTACAAGGGAATTTCATTAAAAGGTAAATGTTTCGCATTTCACCCGACAACTAGAACACGAGCCATGCAACAGGGGTTAATTGTCTGGTTCGAAATTAATTTCCATATTTTTTTTTTCAGTGCTTAAAATTTCATCGGGAAAACCCAATCGACACAAAACGATGTAACGCGATTAACAGCCATGTTTTTTTGATTTTTTTCATTTTCAGGCACCCAACTGGATTGGCCTCCGATGGTGATTGGCGCATGTTTCCGTTAATGGGATAAGAGGTATTTAATAAACCCAATTAATCTGGCTTTTATTGAGTCGGGAACGTGTCCTTGAAAATTTCTGCCATTACAGGTTGGCTCAAGTTTAAATAACATGCATGCTTTTAACTCAATTAAGATGAAAATTCTATTTTTGCGATGATTGATTGAGTTAAAAGCATTTTTGAATCGTCAAAACATTCAAGTCACCTGTTTCATAGGAATCCTCGAAAATCGAGATTAATACTAACCCAAACGATACCGTTTTGAAATCGAGATCATCTCGAAACGTGCGAAACTTGTTTCAACTTAACACGACCATGGGATCGTGTGTGTCGTGATGGACATGAAAATGCCCAATCGCAGTCAGTTGGAAACTGGGTCATTCGCAAACGGGGGGAGCGAACGGCTCGCAAGAATGCGTTCATTTTTCATCACTTCTAGCCGGTCAGCAGCATCGGTCAACATCAAGTCACGATCCTTGGAGGCTTGCATGACCTAAAGGACTACAGCATATTGCTAGTTTGATCGATTGTGGCCTTCACAGTTTTGCCAACAAATGAGTTAAACGCAAAACAAATTACATATACATCAAATTGATTTCTTACATCCTCTGCATTTTTTTTTAAATTACACATGCAACGAATTGTACCGTACAAGCAACTTTTCCAGTACACATATTTACATAAAACACCAGCACGAGATGATTTTCTTGTCACAGAGAACTTAAGAAAACAAAGATGGTAAGGAAAAAATTAGTCCGATTTGGTTCGAACTTTTCTTCGAATACCACTCATCATATTTTGGACACTCTGTTGGCTAACCTGAGCTGCCGTTTTGTTCCACCATCTCTTCATCTCTGTCGCATGCCGAGTCACCTTTCTGCTCTCCTTTAACTTTTGTTTGTGTTAAAGATGAAGCGACTGAAGACTCCAGCAAGCCATGAATTAGTTGCTAAGAGCGTCTGTAATTGGTTTCAATAAAATTTTCATTCTGTTCTTGACCGTCGATGAAACAAGTTCATTTCATTCTTCGGTCCGACCTACGACATATTCCCATAGATTATGGGTAGGGACAGTGGAAATTCGCGGTCAAAATTCCAAAATTTCGCGGTCGATAAATGAGAAAAAGTGGAAATTTCGCGGCAATTTCGCGGTTGATTTTTTTCTTTCAATATACCGTAGAAAAGTGAAATTTTCTTTGCTAAAACAACCAATGAGTCTTTATTGAACTAAAATACAGTTATTCAACGGTACATTTTATGCTTTCTTTGCATTAATAACCACAAGTACATGATTTGTCAAATTATCTTCGGTCATATTCTGTCGTCTACAAGTATTAATTAAATTGTACTGACTTACGCTCCGTTCTGCATCAACCGAGTTTCCAGGGATTGACAGGTACTTTATCGCTATTCTGAAAAGCTCAGGAAAACGATTACGATTCAAAAACCAAAACGTCAATGGTTTCACACTGTCACATATTTCCAGTACTGCTTGCTTGTATGCTGTCAGTTCATCTTGCAAGGTCAATTTTCTGGTTGTGCACTCTGGAATCCCGTCGTACAGGTTATCAATAGACAAAAACTTCGCTTGATGGGGATCCAGTAGTCGAACCGCCCGAAGAAACTTCAAACCAGGTTGACAGAATCGCGTTGTGGCTGTGGGTGTGTGATAGTACTGTTTCATCTTATTCGATGCATCTGCAAAGGCTTCCCGCTGCCATCGAGGTACAGACTTTTCTTCAGATTTGTCTGAAAATACTGTAAGAAAAAAATGATCAGTGGATTTTTTTGAAAAAGTACTCCATTAATGTACCTGCTAGCAAGTCCATGATTTTATTGTACGCTAAATGTATCAGAACATGGCGGCTTTCAAACCAGGTCAAAAGCTCAACCAATTTGGTCGTACTTTTGTGGATGAACAGTATTTTCTCTCTCAGTTTTCGGTCCTGAAGCAATTCATGTAGCTCATTCAACGCATTTGTTGCTGCTGATATTGCAAGTTCGTTGCCGATGAAATTTTGGTAGTGATTCACATACTCAGCATGGTAGGCGACAGCATTTAGCCAACTATTCCATCTCATAATGACTGGAACGGGAGGTAACGGTACTTTGTCCTTCTCAACCCCGGTAAGTTCAGCCATCAACTCCTTAAAACGTTGCTTTCTCGAGGCAGAATGAGTAAAAATGGACTTGAAGCATGCCACTAAACGATCAACGCTAGGGAACTTCTTCCTCACACTTCACCGATCAACCCCAAAATATGTGCATTGCACGTCATGTGAATGTAACACGGAAGTAGTCCTTTTAGATTCTCGAAAGCTTTAGTCATGTAAGTGGCGTTATCCGTCACAAAGGCTGTAACAGCATCAAAATTAACACCATATTTAGCCAATGTTTTTATTATACTTTGGGACACAGTTGTAGCATTGACATGTTCCAAGTAAATAATATCAGCTGTTACAGCTTCCATCTTCTCCTGTTCAGAGGTCGTAACAGGAAGAACAAATATTACATGTAGAACAAAACGATCCTGTGAATCACTGGCTTCATCTGTTATGATTGCAATCGAGGTTGAGGTTTTAACTCTAGCTTCAAGTTCTTTTTGGTTCTGATCGAATACCTTTGGAAGGTATTCCTTTCGGAGGTGGGATAAATTTGGTAGTTGTCCCAGATTTTTAACACTCGATTGGAGATACTCACGCAGTTTAGGATGGTCCAATTTATGTAACGGTACATTCGCGGCACAGAAAGCCTCTACCAACTCGAAGTGTGCCACGTTTTGCGCATCTCTGGAGATCTTTTGACGCTGAAATGCTCCGACAATACTCGCTTGTTTTTTTTTTTCTTTTTGCGCAGCCTCGTCCTGCTGCAATTTTAACTTTTGCAAGTGCTGTTGTGATTTCAGGTGCTTGTCGATTGAGTTTTTCCTCGAGTTGTCCAGGGTCACGTTGCAGCAGGAACAAAACAGTTGTCCGGCATCCGCATGTAAAACTCCCTGCGGGTATTGTTTAACACGGTCATGGCACGATAAGTTCACAGCTTTCTTCATGATTCTATCACAACACGTCGAAACGCAATCACAAATTCACTTTGTATCAATTGTTTCCGGACAAAATAGTGCGATAAACAGCGAGCTCAGCACGGAGCGGAATTTCCTAAGCAGAGCTTTTTGACGTTTAATGACGCACACATGAAAAAATGCAAGAAGGAGGGAAAAAATAGTGAGAAAACTACGAAATCATGCATCCCCGTGTGCTAGATAGAGAAGGACAATCAAACGTCAAAAAGGGGGATTGGCACGTCGAAAGAAGGAAACCCCATGGGTATTGCATGCAAGTCGCATGAAAACAAAACGAAATATTTCAAAATCGACATGCAGTGTTAGTTTTTTTCATGAATTTCGCGGCATTTCGCGGGTTTTTCTAAATTTCGCGGACGATGCCAAATTTCGCGGAATTCGCGGCTTCCGCGAAATCGCGAATTTCCACTGTCCCTAGTTATGGGCCTTTGTGAAGAAAATTCAAGAAGCTGTCGCAAGCGAAATTTTTTTTCACGTTCCCGGTATGGACGGAAGCAAGTTCGGTCTGGAAAAGCTGAAGAGTGGCTGATACGAATGTTTGCAATTCAAGGTGGAAATGCTGTTGGTAAGAGAAAATCTCCTGGAAGCACGTTACGGAGGCCGCCCCTGAACCTCTAATGAACGCGTGGAGATGCCAACGTACGGGCCACCATCGTTTTGCTCGTAGACGACAGTCAGCACCCACTGATCCGGAACTGCAAGACTGCCATCGAGACCTGGAACGAGTTTAATAAGCATCACCAGAAGACGACGATGTCCACTCGTGTCTCGTACCTGAAAAAGCTGTGCAAAGCTGAGTACAACGACGACGGGGACATGGAAGGCCATCTTTTCCGGATGGAACAACTTTTCACAAGCCTCGCAAACGCGGGCCAGGATCTCGAATCCAGCCTGAAAGTGGGGATGATATTGAAGAGTATGCCTGACTCTTTCGATACCCTCACTACTGCGTTTGAAAGCCGTTCACCATGGAACTGGTGAAACATAAATTGGTGTATGAAGCACAGAAGCGTGGGGAGTCCATTCTGCGTGCTGGTGGCGAAAAGAAGGTAGTGTGCCACAACTGTCATAAACCCGGACACATGAAGCGAGAATGCTCAGCGGCAAGAGCTGGTGACGGAAGAGCAAGCAGCAATTCGAAGCCGAAGAAAAGTCAAGGTTCAAAAGCGAAGATTGGCAAGGCGAACCCGTGGCTACTATGACCGAAAATAAATCGAAGGTGTGGATCGTCGATTCTGGAGCAACGTCCCACATGAGCTGCAATCGTCCGTTTTTCGATGAGCTGAAGCCAAGCTCGGGGATTTCCATCACGCTGGCCGATGGAAACGAGACGTGGGTAAAAGGCATCGCATCTGGCCGCTTGTTTTGCCAAAACGAGGAAGGAGAACAGCAAGAAGTTATCCTGTCCGACGTGTACTACGTTCCGAAATTGGAATCGAACCTGATTTCTGTTGGAAGACTGGTTTCCAAGGGAGCAGAGGTTGTTTTCTCTGGTTGCCGTGGTTGCGTGATCCAACGTAACGGAGTCGTAGCAGCCGTAGCGAAGAAAATTGGTGGGATGTACCAGTTGAAGTTTGCGGAAGAGCGCGGTATGACTGCATCCACCATTGGCGTCGGAAGTTAGGTCATCGTGATCCCGAAGCAATTCAGCGAGCTGTGCATGAGAATTTGGCGACGGGCGTGACCATCCACAAGTGTGAAGTGTTCAAGACATGTGCGTGCTGTGTCGAAGGCAAGCTAACTCGACTACCGTTCCCAAGAAAACTTGATCGACAATCAGCAATGATCCTGGATATAGTGCACACGGATATCTGCGGTCCAATGAGCTCGCTATCGCCTGGCGGTGCACGATATTTCCTTACGATGATAGACGATTTCAGTCGATACACCATGGCGTATTTCCTCAAAAGAAAGTCGGAAGCTGCGGAAATAATAGAGGATTGAAATTGAGGAGAAAATTGAGTATGGTGTACAATCGATTCGGAAGAAATCCAACGGTTATTCGCTCGGACCAGGGAGGCGAATATAAATTGAAGCTTTTGGGACGATTCTACAGGGAGAATGGAATCCCCAGTAACAATTTTGGTTTTATTAGGGTTCTGAAGACCATGATTTAGACTTGTAGCATGCTTTAAAACCTCGATAAAACTTGAAATATTACTTGGAATAGCGCCCCAGTATACGGCGGGATATGCACCGGAGCAAAACCGAGTCGCGGAGACCGGTCGATTGTCGAAATGGCTAGGTGCGTGCTGATCAACGCAAAGATGGGCTACCAGTTCTGGGCGGAAGCGGTCAACACGGCCGTGCCCCTGCAGAATATACTTCCGTCACGGTCCATCGAGAAAAAAATCTTTCGAGCATTGGTTTGGGATGAAACCGGATTACGGACGATTGCATATTTTTGGTTTCACTGCGTTCGTTCACGTTCCTGCTGAGAAGCGAAGCAAACTGGCACCGAAGGTGGAGAAGTTTACATTCGTCGGTTACTCCGAGTGTCACAAGACGTTCCGGTTCATCGATAAAGCAACGAAGAAGGTCGTAGTCAGCCGTGATGTTCGATTCGTTGAAATGGAGGATGATATTGAAAACGAGGGTTCATCGTCACCGAGTATTGTGGAATACGAGTCTGAAGTATCGCAGGAAACTCCAGAAAAGGAAGAAGAATCCGATGATGACGAGTCGGTTCAGGAGGAGTGTGAGTCAGATACCTCGTCCTATGACTCAACATGTGACGGCATCGATGGGGGCAACGAATACAAAAGCGATACGGCAGCTGTGGAAAAGCCACTCCGGCGTTCGATCAGAGATACGAGGGGACAGATACCGGTTCCAGAAACCACTGGAATGGCATGCAGGCTTGTGGCGGAACCAAGGACAAGGCAGGTAACATTTAGGACACTGCTGACGATTGCCAGTGAACGAAACATGCTGGTGAATCATGCGGACGTCAAGACCGCCTATCTCCACGGCGATCTGGACGAAACGATTTTCATGCGGCAACCGCCAGGCTACGAAGCTGGTGCTGTGGATGCGGTATGTCTGTTGCAGAAAATCTTGTACGGCCTCAAACAAGCGGGAAATGTTTGGAACAAGAAACTGGACGGCGTATTAAAGCATCTTGGTTTCACACAGTCAGCAAATGATCCATGTGTGTAAGTGCGACGTCGAGGCCAGCAATACACGTATTCAGTCATCTACGTGGACGATATGGTCATCGCTTGGCACACCGAAGAGGAGTACAGCGAGTTCATCGCAGCCCTTAACCGTAGCTTTACGGTAACATCGTTGGGAGACATCCGCTATTTCCTGGGCATCCAGGTGCGACGCAACGAGAAGGAGTTTTCTCTCAACCAGCGGACTTACATCCAGAAGCTGTTGGACGCAAAGTCATCGAAGATTCCTTTGGACCCTGGCCACCTGCAACAAAAGGAGGAGAACGAGCGACTGCCGAACAATCACCAGTACTCAAGATTGGTTGGTGGTTTGTTGTACGTGGCAGTAAACACTCGACCGGACATCGCGGTCAGCGTATCGATTCTTGGAAGATCGGTGAGCTGCCCATCACAAGCGGATTGGATGGAAGCGAAACGGATACTTCAATACCTCAAGTTCACCAACGACCACGAACTTGTACTTGGATCAGGAGGAGCTATCATGGAGGCTTACGTCGACGCTGACTGATGTGAAGACCCGGAAGTCTCGAATTCTGGATTTCTGGTAATGTTTGGTGGTGGTCCAATCTACTGGATTGACCAACCGTTGCAAGATTTCTCCGTAGTCATGACGAAACCGATCCAAATTCACGAGGACAACCAGCCGTGCATCAAGCAATTGGAATCAGGAAAAATCAACAACCGATGAAGGAGGAGGGCAAGATCTCGGTGCAATATTGCCCAACCGATAGCATAGTGGCGAATACCGTCGAGGAGGAGTGTTGAAGATGAAGCGGCTGAAGACTCCAGCAAGCCATGAATTAGTTGCTAAGAGCGTGTTTAATTGGTTTCAATTCTGTTATTGACCGTCGATGAAACAAGTTCATTTCATTCTTTGGTCCGACCTACGGCATATTCTCATAGTTTGACAATTGCCCAATATTTCACAATTGGGCGGAATTGAGGGCAGTAGGGTGGATTGATGTCCTTTTTGAATAAATCTATCCCATTGCCTCGATACCACTGTAGGATAGATAGCTTGCCAAATCATGCCAAAACTCTACAGGTCCATTGTAGGCCTTAATGTACGGAAGAATACGTTTTTCCAATTTCAACGTATCTTAAAAAATCTTCACAAATCGTAAAATATCTTCAAAATGACTACGGGAATCAACATGTCATAGCAAAATTTCAAGTGGTTTCAAAATGATGGCATGGCATCCCTCAATAGAGCAAAGAGAGAGAAAGATGGCTTGGTCTGCTAAATTGCCAGAGTCTCCCGATGAATGGAAACGATTAATATTTTCAATCTTCAAAAGCTCTACTACATACCTACATAGACAACTATCTTCAATCGCACCGCTGGGTGTCGATCTAAATTGTGCTAATTACGCCCACTGGAACTGTAAGGAAGGGAAGACATCAATACCAGGAAAGGGGAGATTTTAAATGGCTTGATTGATGTGGCTTGGGAAGGTTATGAAGATGATTGACTAATCGACTAAATGCTGGTGATTTTATGGTATCAGCTTGGCCAAATAAATTTCCTAACATCAGCAGTTTGTTTGTTAGAACTTGAACAGAGTGTGCCACTAGAAATATAATACCGTCGACCTCCGCTAAACTGAAAGGTACCTCATCCATATTACGGAGGTTTTTTTTAATTTGCACTTCTAGTAACCCTATCAGTATCAGAAATGCACCCCTCATAACTGAGAATGTTGTTTTTAGGCATATTAGCCATATTTATGGGCATACCACTACATGCAGATGACATTTGCGTAATGACCCATCTGTCACCGCAGGAGATTTCGCAGCTCTTTGTTTTTCGCACCCGGCACCAGGTAATTGCTGTAAGTATTAATCCTCTCATGAACCTCGGCGGACTTCGAATGCAAGTATCTCACAGTGATTAACGAACTAACGAATGAACGAACGAACGAACAAAATAAAAAAAAAAACACAACAACTTTTGAACAACGATAATAAAGCAGATAACAAATGTTCGACTGCATGTTTCGAGCACACGCCGAGTCCCCAACTGTGGTTGCTGTAGTTCGATGTATGTATTTTTTGTTTTTTTTTTTCACCCGATGTAGGTTTGTAATTATCGCTTTAATTAAAGCTTCACTGCCATTGCATTGTGCTGCCACTGTCTGCCTGTCTGTAGATGCTGGTGACATTATTCCAGTGAGCGTTTTTCGTTTTTTCATTAATTCAATAATCAACCACAGTGATCGAGCTCATGGAGCAGATGATATGCTTTGCCGGTTGAGGGGGGGGGGGGGTGAGGGAAGGTTTAAAACTGTAATCGACTAGTGGGTGTGTAACATGATACAGTAAAATTAATCTGCGGAGAGTAATTGCAGAATGTGTTTTATTTTTTCATTAATGTTGTCACATGAGAAATGAAAGTCCTCGAAAAAGAGGTTGTCGTGTCGATTTCATGTTCGGAGAATATCAGCACAAACAAACAACTAATGTCGTATGGATGTGTTTGTGCAAGTTACCAAATTTGTGAAGTCATTGATTGCGATGGCACAAACCACAGCTTAATTAGACATATGGTATGATACATAAACAAGAATTCAGTATTGGTAATTATTTTTTCCTTGATTTATATGGATCTTCTTCTTCTTATTCGCATTTCAAGCTTATTGCTTAGTGCATATTAGCTTATTGCGTGCTCTCAACTTAGTGTTCTAAATGCACTACCACAGTTATTAATTGAGAGCTTTCGATGCCAATACCAATGCATGAATTTGTATATTGCGTGGCAAGCACAATGATACTCTATGTCCAGGGAAGTCGAGAAAATTTCCAACCCGAAAGATTCCCTCGACTGGACCGGGAATCGAACCCGCCACCTCCGGCTTGGTAATACCGTGTCTTTACTGACTAGGCTATGAGGCCCCTATTTATATGGATATGGCTATGAATTTTTATGGAAATTATGAGGAGCATTTAAAATAATTAATGGCAATTTTTTTCATTTTTTTCAATCTCTTTCAATTAATTTCAATCCCTTGAATTGTTTTCCGTCGATCTTGCTTTCTATACTGAGTAGCGATACTACCGACGCCAGGGAGGCAGCTCCAAAGCGTGGCTCTACCTATCGACTCATCAACTCATAGACCGGGGACCAACGGCTTTACTTCCCTTCCGAAGGAAAGCGTGATCAGAGATTTCATTCCTCAGAAAATCCCGCCGGCACCGACTGGGATTGAACCCAAGCCTTTTGGGGCGAGAGGCGCTGCTGTCCCTATTGGTCATTGGTAGAAAGTATTATTGGACACTATTCCAGGGAATAGTTGCAAGTAACTCCTTGAACGCTATGATTTTTTCAACTGCATTAAATAAAATAGAGTAGCCACAACAACACTCGGATGCAGTACAACCGGAAGTGGACAATTTATAAAAGTTAGCCTGAAACGTTACTTTTAAACATAGAGGATGACGGGGAAGACGGTCTCTCTTTGGATTATTGAAACAGTCAACTCTTGAGAAAAAAGTATATACATGATGTATAGTTCTTTGCTATAGTATTTATAGATAAAGTTCAAAAAACATTTTAGCTTGATGACAGGTGAAACGACCAAATGCACTATAGAAAAAAATATTATGCATGGCGGTGGCGGTGAAACATCAGGCTTTTTTGAAAACATTTGTAGATCTGTTATCAAAATGAATTCATTATGCGGGGGCCCCGGGGAAGATCTGGAATATCTGTAAATGTGGTAAAATCTTGAAACTACATAGGTTCTGACTTTCTACGAAGTTTCTGCTTCCCGCAATGTTGGTAAGATGATCAAGACTTGGTAATGGTGGACAGGTAAATTTTGAAATCTTACACTACGCGGCACTAGGGTACATGCAAAGTTCCTGTACCTATAAGCAATATCTTGATATTCAGACCATCTGGGAAGTTGCTGTTTTTGGTAAACTTGCTCAAGTGATCAACGATTTTTGGATTTTGGACAAATTAGTTCACAATTATCTCACTGCGTAACGCAAGTATGAATGTGAACTTTCAGTATGTGCTGTATCTTCAAAGTCGAACCATCTAGAAAGTTGCCGTCTTGGGCTAAGTTGGTCAGGTGACTGAAGTTTTCATGATTATATTCATTCAAGCCCACTAATCTGTCTCCCATCCAGAAGGTTTCAATCACCTGATAAAATTTTCCAAAAACAACGAATTTGATTTCTTTGATTTTTTTTTTAAATTAATAGATGTTTTGCTTTGGCATCTTCTTAGATGATCAGGACATTAACGTAAAGTCCACATGCACATTTGCGCCGTGTTGTGAGAGAGTTTTGAACTAACCCCCTCACAATTTAAAAGAACTTTATGAGCTCTTCAACTTTCCCGAAGACGGAAACTTCCTAGTCAAGATCTCAAGTCATATTGTATACAAGAAATGTACTTGCACATTAGCGGCGCATAGTGATAAAATTCAGAACTACTGTTCTCTAACCAATCCATCTTGACCAACTGTACAACTTTGCTGAAGACAGTAATCTTCTATATGGCTAAGACCCAACAAACATTGGAAGCAGAATAAGAGCTTATTCCTGCAAAAATGTACTTCTACAGCTAAGAAATGGCTTATTCAGCCTTTAATCAGCACAAATTGTTTATTGGGGATGATGTGCTATTCCGTGTGCCGTCTTAACCCATCGTTATATTCGGAATCATACACAGAAAAAAGTCTCCCCTTGATTTTTTTAGCTTTTATAGATGGCAGTTAGTTTTGTGTTCAAATCTGGTTAAGATGTCATACTTAATTATCTTATAGATAAATCATCCAGTTAAAAATGTTGTAGGGGTAAGAGGTGAGACCAGCATCATTCTCATAAAAATCGAAATTGTTTGCAAGCAAGCAAATTTCTACGATATTGCGCTTAAATTTACATAAAATATTGTGTAAATTTTTGACAAATCTAGCGTTACCAGGTAAGGTTTACTTTATTAAGGAGGCTTTCAGCCCGAGGCTGGTTCATCTCCGGATAGCTAGCGTTAACAATGTGTGCAATAGATATCACAGAAAATTTCAAAAAATTTAGTTAATTTGAAACTTGCAACTGATGAAGTGGCTCCCCCTGAAAATTTGAAACATCCGAAACAGTGACTTGAAAGAGGTGGAAAAGTTCACGAAAAGTAACTATGGCTTGCTTTTGACATGCTGAAATTTTTTGAACTGTCACAAATCTGACAGAACTTATTGGAATAACATTTCGAAGAGAAATTGTATTGTTTTCGAGATCTTGAACTTAAATGAACCTCTTTCCTTTGTACAAAACACATGTTACCATTTCATTGCAAAATCACTTATCGATTTCAAATTAATCTGTATTCCTGAAAAAACTTGTTTTGAACAAAAGAGCATAATTTATGTTTATAGTAATACCTTAAAAAGTGCGGTAATATAAGGCTTTGTGAATCGAATCCGCGTGAATCGAACAAATAGTATGCGATGTTTGACATAATTGGTTCCTGATCCTGACCATATAGAATGTTTTTGCCTTCAG